ATTGGTTCCTAACTTGTTAAGACTGTACTAAAAACGGTCTTGAATATAATAATATTTTTCACTGGCAGAACTGGTGCTCACATTAAAGCTATTGTACACTAACCTAATATTGAATATAAAAGTGACAACTTTGAATATAGAAGTGAAATATCTATTAATTAATAAAATACTCAATGTATATTTTATCAAATACCACAATAAAATGTATTAAGAATTTCGCGTCTATATAATATATTTAATTCATTTCTATACTTTTATTAAACATATATCTTTAAACATCGATTTGTGTACAACGGCTTTAATTTAAAATGCACTGAGTGCGCACCAGCTCGATCAGTAAAAAACGCTGTAAGATTCGACTATGAACACCGGCCTAAGATTCTTTAATATGATTGGTTAGACATTTAGAGCTAGTGAGGCACGAAGGGTCAATTATATTTAAAAAATCTTACAACACACACACAATACACACAGCTACAAAGCTTCTTTTTCTATCGAACGCTGCCATTACAAACTAGAATTTTCAATTATTTGGTAAATGCTATTTATTTATTTTTCTAATACAAAAAATTTCTGCGTGAGTCTCACGTGTGTTTTGCGTGGATTTCCTTATTATATTAAGAATATTTTCCCGACGCCATCTCATTTGTTGTGAGCGAATAACACGATGAATGTCGCTACAAGCCGAATGTCGGTTAAATCTTAACAAAATATCTCGAATATATGCATATCGCAATCTCCAAATTGTCCGTCGACCGTCAGGAGTTGTTAGACGAAAAGTCGAAAAAAAAACGTCGGTCGGTTCTCCGTAAGGCGCATGCGTCTCATCGCCAGAGCGCGAACCTCGGAACGCATTTTACGCGGAAACTGTCAGCGCGATTGGGTTCTCGGCCAAATAAATAAGCATGACAAACGGTAGAGAATGATCTGGCAAAAGTTTCATCCCGATATCTCGCGTCGTTCCAGAGATATTAAATGGCCACTTTTAACGAGCGAGCGGAGCACGAAGCAGGGCACGGGGCGCTTCCCGGCATGGCAACGCGCGCGCCATCGACATCGCTCGCGGCAGAAGCGTGTCAGGGCCTCTCGCTCTCAGCTACGAAGTATAGCCTTTGTAACGTGTTTGCACTACAAAGGATTTTTGAACGATATCGATTCGCACGATGATTATTTTGTCGTTTTCCATAGCTTTTGACAGCGTCGTATCTTGAATCCGTTTGTTTCATTTGTATTCCTTTTTTTTACAAACGAGCTTATAAAAAGAATAAGAGAAAAATAACATATAGAAAGTGTCAACATACAGAAATCGACAAATTTCGTTGAATAAATTGCTAAATAGTGATAGTTCTAACTGCAATTGTATCAGGTTGACGCGAGGAATTTGTCGTGTCAAAGTAAATTGAGAATTTCAGTGAAATCGAAGCAAAATCACAGAACTTTAGTATATATTCTTTCCACGGAAAAAAATATTTCAATGACTTTCTCAAAAAATTTCAGTTTTTCAATTTTATTTATAAGAAAGCGTGGTGGAGAAAACAACAAAACCTTTTGCTGCCTTAATGGACAGTGTTATATTTAATAGTTTAGTATTGGTTATCGTAGCAGCTGCACAAAAGTGTGTTTTTCGCAATAAAAAGTCACATGTTTTTCATGATAAAAAAATCGACACGGTAGTCCAATCCATATTTTCTATTGTATGTCTATCACTTTTGGAAAAATATGTGTTACTACAAGCCATTAGGTATGTCGCGATATAGTAGACGTAGATTACGGAACGAGTTCAAATCGATATCGTAACTAATTCGCGTATCATGAGACGACTGACATTTCCGAGTCGTATTTTTGTTTTCACAATGTAACCGCTACATAATTTTCCATTCAGGCGTCAATGATTCTACCTTTAATTATCGAAAAATTCCACAATAAGCTCGTGTAATTTTGTTATTTATACAAAGTAATTTTAAGGTATAAGAATCGTAAAGCAAAACGTTTCTTCTTTTCGTAACTGAGACAAATTCGCGCTTTATATATTTGTTTAATTTTTAAACATAATTGCGTTTAATTGATTGACCGTTCTGAAATAAAGTATGAATATTTGAGAAATGTTCATTTTATGATACAAATGTAAATCCGTCTTCCATAATTGACGAATTTTTGCGCTTGTCAGATTAATACAAACAATGATGCATCGATGTATAATTCCTTCCATAAGCAGGTTAAACAAATCAAGCTGAGCACGTTATGAAAACGAGTGCACGCAATAATTAATTAGACATGATTACCAGAAAAATATTAAGTACAGAATATGATATTTTAACATTCGCTACATCGTTATATATATTTCGCGAGCCGAAAAGTATCATTCGTATAATGGGAATAATTGCTATAACATTTTTTTATTTTTCTCAAAGAATGCGATATAAATGCATTTGCATATTTCTCTGTCATGTTTCATACATGAAAATTGTGTACTTAAGCAAAATCTGTTCATACTTGATTAACAATTCAATACAAATCAATACTAATTATTCAATACTATTCGTTATAGTCCAACAAGAAAGTTCGAACAAATAACATTGCGCGTATCGGATATTCAGTTTTGGAAAATCCATTCTATATTTTATAATACTTATTATAACATTTGATCACACAATTAGTTGTGTATCTATGAAAAAACTATGTTATCTGTAATTGCGGTAGAATGGAACATCGTGATAGGCACGAGGTGAAGTAGGCGAGGCGCAGTAAAAAAAGCTGCGATTAATGACGTGCGCGACGGCGACGGCGGGCGTCGACGTCGTCGAGGAACAAAGGGGAACGTCGGCCCAGCCGGGACGGTGGAGGGGACAGAGGGGAAGGGGGCGATCGCGTGTACGAGTACACGCCATCTACGTGGATCTGACTCCGCGACGCGTGTATTCCAGGGTTGCGCAATTCGGTACAGCGCGCGCGCGCGACACAGCACGGCCGAAAGTGCGAGAAACGTGCGTGTGATCGTCAGGCGCTTTCCAATTTACGCATCGCTCGCGGGGTTGCGCAGCGTTTCGTGCACGACGATTGATTGTGCTCCGAAGGGAGGCGAGTCTCGTGCCGGAGGGAGCGCCCGAGTAGGTGGAGCGGGCGGAGGGGCTAATGGGGGGAAAAACAGGGGAAGAGAGCGAAGCGGAACCCTGAAAGGGGGTACGAACGAACGTGCGAAACGGGAGCGACGGAGAGATGACACGGGAGAGCGAATACGCTGAGGGTTGAGAAGAAAGAGGGTTGCGAGGTCGGAGGCGCAGGAGTCGGGAAAGATATCAACACAAAGAGAATGAGAAAAGGAAAGAG